TGACCTCCATGAGGGAACTGGTCAACGCGTCCTGAAGGTCAGCTCCACTCACCAAGTTCGTGGAGAACGAGGGGAGGTGGAGGCCAGACAGAGAGCCAGACGGGACCGCCGGACACGGCAGAACCGTGGAGGAGTGTGCAAGGACCGGACCCCCAGAGGGGTCAGCCAGAGAGACTGCCACTGGCCGACTGAGCGGCGAGAGTGTGGTGCAGTCGCGAAAGAAGGAGCGGGAAGCACCCGAGTCAAGGGTGAAAGTGTGCAAGGCCGCAGCAGGCGTAGTACCAGAGAGAGCAAACTCACCAGCACCTGGAGGAGTGGACTCCCTCACGCCTAGCGCAGCAGCCTCACCGGCACCTGGAGCAGAAGACTCACCAGCACCTAGAGCAGCAGCCTCACCAGCACCTAGAGCAGCAGACTCTATACCTGGGTCAGGCGGCACACACAGGTGACAGGCACCCTCAGCACTAGTAGGCAATGCATACATGGCAGTGAGGATAGCATCATAGTCAAGAGCAAAGATATCTACCCTCTGCCTTAGCAGCTCCACCCAGTCGGGGAGCTCAGCCGCGTCGCCAAACTCTGTACGCCAGGCGTCGCTCAGACGGGAGAAGCAGCGGGACTCTGTGTGACCAATCGTCCCTCAAGGCTGACGTACGGGCAGCGAGCAGTACTCCGTGACCCTCCACTCTGAGCGTACCACTCACGAAGCTGCTGGGGCGAAAGGACTGCGCGCGGACGCTGCTGCAGCTGCACCTGGTCACTACAAGAAGCTCCCGAACGACCCGCTCCAGGGCGACTCCCACCACGGCCACCCCTACAACCCCAACTAGCGTACCACTCACGAAGCTGCTAGGGCGTGAGGGACTCACGCGGACGTCGCTGGAGCTGCATCCGGCCACCGCCAGGAGCAGCAGTAGCAGTAGTAGCCGCAGTAGCAGCAGTAACAGCAGTAGCAGGAGTAGCAGCTGTAGCAGCGCGGCCACCCCTACAACCCCAACTAGCGTACCACTCATGAGGCTGCTGGGGCGTGAGGGACTCACGCGGACGTCGCTGGAGCTGCATCTAACCACCGCTAGGAGCAGCAGTAGCAGTAGTAGCCGCAGTAGCAGCAGTAGCAGCTGTAACAGCAGTAGCAGCAGTAGCAGCACGGCCACCCCTACAACCCCAACTAGCGTACCACTCACGTAGCTGCTGGGGCATGAGGGACTCACGCGGACGTCGCTGGAGCTGCATCTGGCCACCGCCAGGAGCAGCAGTAGTAGGAGTAGCACTAGCAGCAGCAGTAGCAGTAGAAACAGTAGTAGCAGCACGGGCAGGGCAGTGTGGCAGCGCGCTAGTAAGGCAGGCGCGCGGGAAGCGCGGGTAGGGCAAGTGCTCACCAGTGGCGGGAAGGGCAGTCGCTCGCCGGGCGAGCAGGGTAGGCGCACGACGGCGGCGTCGGCGGGGCCGGGATAGCTGCAGGGCGGGGCCGCGACAGCGGCAGGGGGCTTCTCGGCAGCTGCTGCAGGGCGGGGCCATGACTGCTGTAGGCGGCTCCGCGGCAGCTGCAGCAGGGCGGGGCCGCGACGGCGGCAGGGGGGCTCCGCAGCAGCTGCTGCAGGGCGGGGCCGCGACTGCTGCAGGCGGCTCCGCGGCAGCTGCTGTAGGGCGGGGCCGCTACGGCGGCAGGGGGCTCCGCGGCAGCTACTGCAGGGGGGGTGCTCCGAGGCAGCTGCTGCAGGGGGGGGGGGGGGGCACCGCGACGAGCAGGGGCGACGCCCCGGGGGCGCCGCGACGAGTAGGGACGGCGCGCGGGCTGCAGAGGCAGCTCCCACGGGCTGCAGAGGCAGGCACAGCTGCAGGGGCAGCGCCCATGGGCTGCAGGGGCAGGCACGGCTGTAGAGGCAGCGCCCACGGGCTGCAGGGGCAGACATGGCTGCAGAGGCAGCGCCCACTGGCTGCAGGGGTAGGCACGGCTGCAGGGGCAGGCACAGCTGCTCGGGAGGGCGGCGCGCGGGCTGCAGGGGCAGCTCCCACGGGCTGCAGAGGCAGGCAAGGCTGTAGGGGCAGGCACAGCTGCAGGGGCAGGCACGGCTGCAGTGGCAGCACGGTCGCAGGGGCAGCACGCGGGCTGCAAGGGCAGCGCGGCCGCAGGGGCAGCTAAAAAAAAAAAAACCAGTTAGGGCAGGGCGGAACGTTCGGTGGGCCCTAGGAACGATTCTGCTCTAATACCATGTGAGAATAAGAACGAGGAATGATTGCATTCAGCAGCATGAGGAGTACAAGTAGGAAACCCTAAAGTGTTGTACCCCAAATGAACTACCCCACTATAGCCTACACAGACTATAGCATATAAGTTTGACAATGCCAGCTATGCTTGCTTGCCTAGACTTTATTATGCTATTTCTAGCATAGGTTTATTTATGCATGCATAAATTGCTTGATTTCCTAGGCTAGGTGCTTTCCTATATTTCATTATAATTATATCACCGAGCTAGGTTGCGTACACCGAATTCTGGGCTATTCGGTTGCTACCGAATTGCGTTCTACCGAATTCGGGAAGTGTCTGTTCGGGACGTTTTGCGACCCTCGGAACCTTCGCGTAACACCTGGTTACTGGGCCTATATATAGCCTTGTGTTGTACCCAGTTGATTCATTGAATTCAAACTCTCGTTTCTGAGCTCGATCCTAGATCCTCACAGAGATGACGATCGGCTCCTCCGTTTGCGCGAGTGCATTTGCAGGTGCGTGTGTTGGTGTTGGTGTGTTCATCGCTGATTGCTGGCGGGCGGAGTCGCGTTCCGCCATGAGCGTCGCAATCTCGAGCTGCGAATCCTCGAGTTGGCGCACAAGACGGTCGAGCTGCTCCTGCGTCAGCGTCGCGAGATTAAATTCGGCCATGTCGGGGGTGTCGTGCAAGCTCAGCGATAGCCTCTGTCGTGGCCGTGCGTGCTTACGAGAGAGCACTTCGAGCGGCGGTGCTTGTTTCGCTGAGAGACGTCTACCCCCCCCTCCCCCCCCAAAAAAATGAGATTGTGGGGAAGCGAAGGTGTGGGTGCGGTCCGAGAGAAGATCGTAGGCTCTGAATACCAAGTGTTACGAGTAAAATTGATTGAGCGAGCGAGAATTGCACTATCGAAGCAAGAGTACCATGAGCGATGGCATAAGCGAAGAATATATAGCGAAACTACAGTGGTAACGGTAATGTGTGAAAATGGGGTGCGCAACGGGCCTAGCGCCGAGGTTGGGAAACTGTCGAGGCGGAGGTCCGGAGCGCGGGTTACCAACCGAACTGTGAGGTTGGGTCGCGTCGTGAACAGTGGCGGGAACAGTGTCGAGGCGTCGCGAGTGGAAACGGATTACTGTTGGGCGCTGTTGGTGGGAACAGTGGTGTACGCGCTGAGCAGGGACGCGAAGTAAGGAAAAGGAATTTTCCTTACAGATATATAAACTCGTGAAATCTGGAACCGCACCCAAATCGTGAACGTTCTCAACCACGTCATACACCTGGACGGAAAACGATGACACGCTCGAGAGCCTAGGGAACACCGCCTACGGGGACCTGATTGAAGCATCGACAATTAGGGCGCGTGTCTTTTGAAATTTATTGTAAAGTTCATGTTTCACTCGAATCTTCCCGTTTGAACTCTGGTCGACTTGTAATCGACCATCTCGACTTTTGGAGGGCAATTTCATCATCACCTTTTGCATCAAGCAAGAGTAACAACAACGTTCGACATTCGAAGGTTCGATTTTATACAGTAAAACCCGAATCGCGCACAAATTTCGTAGGTTACCTGTTTTGACTGCGTAGCTCGTGATCGAATCCAAATTCAGTAACGTGGTATGTTATCCGTCGTTAGTTTCGCGAATATCGCAAATTCACTGTGCACGAGAGGAAGAACACACGTTTGGTTGGATAAACGGCTTGTGAAATTCGACCCCAGTTCATTGTCCTTCGGTTTCATCAACCTTTGAACTTGGACACACGATTCTCGCAAAGAGCTCTCGGAGGAATTGACGAAGCCGGTAACCAGCAAAAGTTTGACCTTAATTTTGAACTTCTACATAAGACACGCGCCCTTATTTTGGTCAACGGTATTGGCGGGTTTCCAGCCCACGCTTTCGCGGTTTCAAGTTTCCATGTGTCTGGTTTCGCAAGCCCCAGCGGGACCCCGTCGTGGGCGACTTGTTGGACCTCATCGTGCGAGCCGCATAAAACATCGTCAATCGCAGAACGTGATGGTGCCAAACGTGTGCAACACTTCGAAAAGGGTTACAACTTCGTTGTGGCCGACAGGGTTGTTTACGGCGTGTTGCAATTTCATGTGACTGCATCGGCTCGGGACATTTGGAAGGCTCTAGGCAGGCGGGGGGCCAAACACGGGCACTGATTCGAGAAAATAAAAGTTTCAAGATAGTGATTCAAAGAGAAAAATTTAAGGTAATACTAGGACATAGATTTTCTTTACGCGTCTTCTGTGAAAATTTTACGGCCTCTTGCGTTCCTGGAGCCTTCCCAAACCCGTGCCACGAGCCGAGCCGATGCAGTGCACCGCAAATTGCAACATCCGTTAGGGTTTGATGGCAGAATTCGATTGTGGACAATGCGCAGCTTCGCATGCCTGCTACTACTTCGCAACAAATCCGTCGTCACAACTTGGGCCATTAGGATCTCACACGCCTAAAGATTTCTCGAGCTAGCAGCGGGCGCTGGTAGAAGCAAACCGACTGCTTGAAGTATACTCAAAGCTATGGAAGTGATTGACCGAACACGCGAAGTTTGCTTTTATCGACCGTACTACTTGAATTCATCGATTCTGTCGCGACGTCGATACCGCGCCTCTGCCTTCCCTGGCTCTTAGACTCGTTATTGCGCTGAACTTTCTTTGTTCCCCTGCGTTTATTAGAGTTTTCTTAGAATTTCTTTAGTCGGGACGTCGAGACACGTTATCGTCTGCTCGATATTTTCTCCACGCTAGTCACTCCGTGCCTCAGCGTTCCCCAGCGAGCTCGCCGCATGGCGAGCCATACGGTTACGAACGCAGGTGCGTTTATAGATACGGACCAAACTGGCAACGACCCGCTGTCTGCTTTCAGGCGCAATGATTAAGCACCCTGTGCTCCCTAGCGCCCCTGGTCCGAACAGATGTTAGCATTTTGCGCCTCGCCTTGCTTTTGAGAATTAACAGAAGTGATGCAGTCATAATACGCATTCCATCACACTTTCTCCTTTCCCACTCCTGCCTCCCTCTCCTTGCCCCCTCTTAGTCTGCGACCTTGTGCGTGCGATTTTTTTGCAATAGCGTCGAGTCCCCCAGTGCCTCACCGAGGCGCGGTTGAGTTTTTTGAGCCGAACCCCCAGTGGCTCAACGGGGGGAGGCTTTGAGTGCATCAGTCATCCCAGCACGTTAGCACTCGTAATCGACATTGGTTGCGATGTGCCTTGCCTCCTCCGACCTTGTGCGTGCGTCTCTCATTCCTCACATGCCGTTCAATCCCCATGTAAATCCTTGCCTTTTTTTAAAATTGTGATTATATCGAGTGGCAGCCACTCCTTTTCAAAAGGGCGGGAAGCTGTCAGAGAATGGGAGAGGTGTTCTGGAATGGCCTCGCGTGAGCCCTCCGCTACTCGCGCTGCTCAACGCGCTGCTGCTGGCGCTCGTGGTGGTCGAGGTGTGGCCGCAATTCGCGGGCGACGGGCCCACGTGGGGAACACGCGGCACGTGGGGTGTGCAGCAGCCAATAGAAGCGCTGCTGGGCTCGCCCGGTGTAGCAAGAGGACGTAACGACGCCAACAGGTTTGTAATCACTTTCAGTTTGAGTGAGTCGTGCATGACCCTGATTCGCCTTATGTGTAAAACCGTTCATTTCCGTGTTAATTCGTCTGTTGAGCTCGTAGCTCCACCAGGTCTGTAACCGTGTTGGTCCACTCAGTAACCCGTTGCTAAAATCCATTCCGCGCGCATTCCGGCCCATCCCTTCCCCATGTGCGCATACAAGGTCCAACTTGGGGCCCATGCGCGCCTTCATCCCCATGCCACACATCCCGCCCCCATGCACGAGTCAAATACCAAAATCCATATCTACTCCCTTCTGTCTCATCTGTACTAACCTGTCATGTCACCCCTTTTCCCCCCGCCTCTTCCAACCCGCTCCTATTCCGCGCCCCTCCTCTGCGCCCCTCCTCCTCCGCGCCCCTTCTTCCGCGTCTATCTCGTCTCCTCGTGCCGCATTCCATTGGCAGTAGCGCCACACGAGCACCGTCACACGCTGCAGACCGTCCATCCAATGCCGCCCATGCTCCATCCTATGCCGCCCTGGAGCAGGACATTTGCTGGTCATCAGGTACTAAGATCTTTCCCTCATCTGCTTTTTGAGCCGACTAGAAAGTCCTCTAGCCGGCGTAAAAGTCAACTCCTCCATCCAGTGCCTCCCTAGCACGGGACATTTGCTGGTCATCAGGTACTATGTGCTTTCCCTCACCTTCCTTTTGTCTTTGCTCACCCGCTCGCTTGCATGCATGCCTTCTTTGTGTGTGTTTTTGAGTCGACTCAAAGCACGCCTTCATGTGTTTTGCCTTCACCAGCTTTCTGCGGTGCATCTTTGCTCGTTCGCTTCCTTCACTATGTTCTCGCGTTGCTTGAATTAAGATAGTGCGAGGAGTGCTAGAGGCAGTGCGAGGAGTGCTAGAGGCAGTGAGAAAGCAAGCAACTGACTCATAGACACCCCGCTACCCCCTTTTTGCCCGAATCCCTCACAGAACCCGTTGTTACCAGCAGCATACGACCACAAGCAGCAACAGGAGAAGCAGCAGCAGCAGCAACAACAGGTGGGGTGGTGGTGGACGGGAGGGGTTGCAGCCGCTGCGTGCGGGGCGAGCAGTGCAGCTTCCACGTGTGGGTGCGCCCGCCTGCTCGCTGGGTGCTGCCCCCTGTGGCTCCTGCGAGCAGTGAACAGGAGAACGGCGCAGAAGGGGGGAATAAAGGAGAGGGGGAGAGCAGCAGCGGCAGCAGCATGGAGCCCAGCTGGTGGAAGAAGGATGTGACGCTGTCTCTGCTGGGGCCTGCCCTGGGCCACGGGGAGGTGCAGTGCCTCGACCCCCCTGCCTGTTCGCACCTCCGCATCTCCTACCGCCTGTGGGATGCGGGGACATACAGGTGAGAGCCCAGCTGGTGGGAGAATGACAGTGTTTTCTCCTTGAAGGACCCTTCCTTGGGCCATACGGAGGTGCAGTGCCTCGACCTCCGCGCCTGCTCGCACCTGCTCGTCTCCTACCGCCTGTGGGATGCAGGCACTTACAGGTGAGAGCCCAGCGAGTACTTGCACGCACAGGTGGGGGAACGAAGTGTACAGGTGGGTCAAGCACTGGTGGTGCTGGCACAGGCACGCACTGGTGGTGCTGGCACAGGCACGCACTGGTGGTGCTGGCACAGGCACGCACTGGTGGTGCTGGCACAGGCACGCACTGGTGGTGCTGGCACAGGCACGCACTGGTGGTGCTGGCACAGGCACGCACTGGTGGTGCTGGCACAGGCACGCACTGTTGGTGCAAGCACAGGCACGCACTGTTGGTGCAAGCACAGGCACGCACTGTTGGTGCAAGCACAGGCACGCACTGTTGGTGCAAGCACAGGCATGCACTGTTGGTGACTTTTGAGTCGACTCAAAAGTCAACGTGGTGCAAGCACAGGCATTCACTGGTGGAGCAAGCACAGGCACGCACCTTCTCGTCTTCTTTGGTCGCTGGAGATCTACAGGAGTGAGTGGGACGGACACCATTCGCTGCCTCGATCAGCTCAGCCATGCTCCAGCCATTGCGGCCCACGTGCTGCCCACGTGCTGCCCACGTGCTGCCCACGTGCTGCCCACGTGCTGCTCCAGGTCTCCACCTGCTTCACCGTTTTTGCCTATCCTGCCTGTGCTTCTGCGCCACTTGCTGTCGATGCCCCCCTACCCCTCCTCCTGCTCCTCCTCCTCTCCCCCTCCATCCCCCGTCTTCCTCTTCCTCCTCCACTGCCTCCTCTCACTCACACTCCCCCCTTCTCTCACATTCTCTGCTGTTCCCCTTCCCCCCCTTTGGCTCACCTCTTTTCCCCTCCCCATGCCCCCCCGCACTCTGCACATGCCCGTCTGTCCCCACCCCCACTCCCCACTGCAGTGCAACACTCCACGTGGGTTGCGCCAATCTCAACTTCTCACCGGCCTTTGCCGCCCATTTCAACTCCACCTACCGCCATGACCTTGCCACGTGGAGCCTCTCCATTGGCTGGCCAGAATCAGTTTCCCAGAAGGTTCCTGGCTCTGCAGGTGCTCCTGCAAAAGCTGTTGATGCTGCTGCAGGTGATTCTGACGAATCTGCTGTTAGTGGCGCTGATGATGCTGGTGATAGTGGTGATGCTGCTTATTCCAGACCTGCAGATGCTTCTGATTCGGGGGCTGCAGCTGCTGCTGATGTTGATGATGGTGGTGACAGTGCTGCCAGGTCATCATCAGAAGATAGGGTCCTTCTGGATGACGTGGCAGCTGGTGATGAGGCACTTGGAGAAGGCGATACAACCTCCAAAGATACCGCCTACCCAAATGCCACCCCCCCAGATGCTGCCTCTCCCAGCAAGCTACCCTCTCCCTGTGCACTCTCCTCCATCCCCGGTCGGTGGACCAAGGCACGCAGTGGCAAGTACATGTGAGTCGCCTCCCTCGCCCCCTGCCTCGCCCCTCTCCCCTTCATGTCCCCACGCCATGTGTGTCCCCTGTGTGGCAATCTGGTCAGTCCACCAGCAAATGAACGGCTGGGATTGTGCTTTCTGCTGCATGCACTGCTGCATCCCTGGGTGGTGGCAGAAGGCACACAGCAGCAAGTTCATGTGATGTGAGTAGCTGTTGCCTTCTGGTGGCCTTGCTGCCTCACGAATTCCTTGCACCCTCCCTCCCTCACTCTCTCACTACCCGTCACCCACATCCCTCTCCCCCTTCTCTCCCGCACCACTGCAGCTGGGCCTTCTTCCCATGCGCACCAGCAGCGTCACCTCCCAGCCGTTGGATCGAGCAGCTGGCAAGCAGGGGAATCCGCGAGATCAACATAGTGGGCGATTCCCACCAGCGGGTGCTGGCGCTGCACCTGCACTGGCTGCTGTCGGGGGAGGCGGACAAGCGGATTCGAAAGGGGCATTTAGACTTCAGCAAGGAGTCGCGGAATGAGAGGAATGAGACGATGAGGATCAACTTCTACTGGGTGGATGGGATATACCGGAATGATGAGTTTGGATGCAGGTGCGTGTGGCGCTGGGTGGATGGGAGGGTTGTCTCCGGTGAGGGAGGAATAGGTGGAGGAATGAGATGATGAAAATCAATTTCTATTGGGTGGATGGGATTTACCGGGATGGCGAGCTTGGATGCAGGTGCGTGTGATTGCTGAGTTGGGGGGGGGAAGGGGAGGGGATCGAAGGGTGGGCTGGGAGAAGGAGGAACGACGGTGACTGGCAGTGTGTGCTAATGATGATGCATGGAATAGCGTGGAGGGAATGATACTGAACAGGGGTAATACTGGAATATGGTGTGCTGGGAGCTGAAAGTAGTTGAATGAGTGGGGCAGGGCAGTGCTGCTAATGAACTTATGCCGGATGGATGGGATTAACCTCAAGAATTGGTCTGGCTGGTGTGTTTTTTAGTAGATGGGACACGTGTGATTGCATCTGCACGCACCTGTGCGCATGCGTGCATTATTTTGAGTAATGCTGTCTCAACCTTCCCCCCACTCACCTGCCCCTCTTCTCTCTGCTCCCCCTACGCTCCCACTCAAAACCCCTCTATAAACCGCAGTCATCGGGGAATCTACACCCATCGCAACACCACATTCCCAACCAACGTATCCACCACAGCTGACGTTACCCTTCTAGAAGCAGGCTACTGGATGAACAAGTGGTGCACAGAGCCAGTCCAAGCCATGCGAGCCCACCTCCCAGAGTACCTCAATTGGGGATTGCAGTTCGCCGCCCAAACCAGGAAGCCAATAGTGTTGCGCACGGCGCCTCCAGTGCCGAACGGGGGCGATCATTGCTTCGTGGGGTCGTATCCCGGGCCGGCTACGAACCTGGCACTCATGGAGATCAATCGGTTGATGCGTCAACTTACAGCGGGTGGTAAGGTATATGGTGGAGGTGCTAATGGGTTAGGTAAGAAAAGAGCTGACAGTGCAAATGAAACAGGTTACAGCGAAGCTGATGCGGACCCAGCTGAACCATGGGACGACGCGTCAATATCGAGGGCCTTTACTGTGGATGAGATGAGGCAGGTCTCGACGGTGCCGGTGTTTGATTCGTGGAAGATCGAGGCTCCTCGGTACATGGACGTGTGTCCAAAGAAGGACCACCACTATTCATGCTATCGAGAATTTGCGAACAGAAAAGCAGAGATTCGAGGTCCAGTGGGGGAGGCTGTTGCGCGTGCATTGGTACACTTCCTACTCCACAAGTTGTAATTTATTATTTCATTTATTGTGTATCCCATCGTTCTCACCAAACTGTATCCTTGTGTGCCATACTCGCCAGGGCTCAGATTTGCATGTAATTTACCCTTCTATACTGATAATAAGGGTGAAATTTGAAGTCTACACTGATGGGCTGGGGTATTTTTTTGGTGAATTACCGTATTCTCCCGGACATAACACCCGGGGGTATTATGATAACCACTGGGAAAAAAGAGGGGGGGGTCCTCTCTGTCAGAACATATTTATAGCTTATGCTGTTGTGTAGGCTATAGTGGGGTATCCCATAGGGGGTACAACCCAATTAGGGTTTCCTATATGTACTCACTTCATTCATAGTTCATTCATTCTTGTTCAAATCTTCTCATGGTATCGAGCAGGTTCCCCCTTGGGAACTGTGCTTAGGGCCCACCACATCGTTTTTTTTTTTTTTTTTTCCTGCCCGAAGCGCGCTCAGCCCGAGTCGCGCTCCGGGCCCTTCACTGCGGCCCCGCCACTCATCTCAGCGGCCCCGCCGCCCGTCTTCGCGGCCCCGCCGCCTCTCTCCTAGCGGCCCCGCCGCCCTACCTAGCGGCCCCGCCGCCCTACCTCGCGGCCTCGCCGCCCTATTGCGCGGCCCCGCCGCCCTACCTCGCGGCCCCGCCGCCCTTACTCGCGGCCTCGCCGCCCTATTGCGCGGCCCCGCCGCCCTACCTCGCGGCCTCGCCGCCCCATCGTGAGGCCCCGCCGCCCTACCTAGCGGCCCCGCCGCCCTTCCTCGCGGTCCCGCCGCCCCATCGCGCGGCCCCGCCGCCCTACCTAGCGGCCCCGCCGCCCTTCCTCGCGGCCCCGCCCCCCCCATCGCGCGGCCCCGCCGCCCTTCCTCTTGGCCCCGCTGCCCTATCTCGCGGCCCCGCCGCCCTACCCAGCGGCCCCGCCGCCCTTCTGCAGCGACCCCGCCGCTCCTCTACAGCGGCCGAGCCGCCCAGCAGCAGCGCAGCCGAGCCGCCCAGCAGCAGAGCAGCCGAGCCGCCCCGCCGCCGAGCCGCGCTGCAGCCGAGCCGCCTGGCCGCCCACCAGCCGAGCCGCCGTGCAGCCGACCGCCCAGCCGCCGAGCCGCCCAGCCGTCGAGCCGCCCTGCAGCCGAGCCGCCCGGGAGCCGAGCCGCCGAGCCGCCCTGCCGCCGAGCCGCCCTGCCGCCGAGCCGCCCGGGAGCCGAGCCGCCCAGCAGCCGAGCCGCCGAGCCGCCCAGCTGCCGGGCCGCCCTACTACCGAGCCGCCCGACCTGCCCTGCCTGGTGAGCACAGCACCACTGTTACTGCGTGCCCTTCCCCTACTGCTTGCACTGCTACACTGTCGTCGTCATGGCTACCCCTAGTGTCCTCGCTTTTGACGCTGAGGGTCGAGCCATTGACTTTGAGGTCTGGGTCGACGACCTGCAGCTGTTCTTACAGTGCGATAGGACGGACGGTCTTTCCCTCTTTGACCTTACCTCTGGCGCCTCTCCTGCCCCTGCTGCTGATGCTGACCCCACTGTTCGCTCTCAGTGGGCCACCCGCGATGCTGCTGCACGCCTTGCTGTGCGTCGCCACCTGCCTACCACTGAGCGCGCGCACTTTAGTCAGTACAAGAGTGCTCAGACCTTGTACGACGCTGTAGTTGCGCGCTACTCTTCCCCTGCCACTGCTGCCCTGAGCCGCCTCATGCTACCGTACCTCTTTCCTGACCTTGCTGCCTTTCCCACTGTCGCTGACCTCATTACGCACCTCCGCACTAGTGACACTCGCTACCGCGCCGCCCTTCCTGCTGAGTTCTGCGCCAAGAACCCCCCCCCCATGTACATCACTCTCTATTACATAGTCACACGCCTCCCTGACTCCCTTCGCGTAGTCAGGGACCACTTCCTCTCAGTCTGTCCCACCACTCTCACTGTCGACCTCCTCGAGAAGTCCCTCCTGGCGGCGGAGAAGAGCATCGTCGCTGTAGGAGCCTCTCGTGGTGACCCTCGCACCCCCATCTTTGAGGGGTGTTCTCCTTCCCCCCTGCTGCCCTCTGTTGCCTCTGCTGCTGCTGCCGACCTGCTTGGTCTTGAGTCGGTCTGCGCGGCGTCTGCCCCTAGCGGGAGACGCCGCCCTGGCAGGGGCAAGGGGGGCAAGGGCGCGGGTGGACCTGGCGGGGGCGGTGGAGGTGGCGGTGGAGGCGGCGGAGGGAGTGGGGGTGGCGGTGGGAGTGGTGGCGGGGGCGGTGGTGGCGGTGGCAGCAGCGGAGGAGGAGGCGGTGGTGGAGGCAGCGGTGGGAGCGGAAGCAGCGGTGGTGGTGGAGGTGGAGGCGGCGGTGGCGGAGGGGGTGGAGCTGGTCGGGGTGGTGCCCCGCAGCGTAGCGGCTCTGGTGGTGGCCAGCGTCAGCAGCAGCAGCAGCAGCAGCAGCAGCAGCAGCGTTCGCGGGACATCCCCCCGCCCCAGCAGCTCCGTGAGTGGTACACGCAGCGTCAGCGGGGTGGGGGTTTTGGTCCGTGCACCTACGTCCTTCGTTCCGGCGACCGCGCGGGTGAGCAGTGTGGGGGTGCCCACCCCACCCAGCGCTGCTTTGGCCGCCTGACGGACGCTTGGCGTCAGCAGTTCCCCGAGGCTAGTGAGATTCCCCGTTGGGGAGAGCTGTCTAGGGCTGGCGTAGCTATCTTTGATCTTGAATTTGATGCTATCCTTGCTGCCATGTATGCTGTGACTACTAGTGAGGAGGGTGACTGTTACTTGTGTTTCCCGCCCGACCCGGGCATTGGTACTGCTGCGCCAGGTACTTCTGCGGCTGCTGCTCTAGGTGCCAGTGCGTCTGCACTCTCAGGTACTGGTGAGGCTGCGCTCTCAGGTTCTGCGTCGGCTTCAGCCTCCCTCACCTTCACGCTTGACTCAGGAGCTTCTCGCTCCTTCTTTCGAGACCGCACCACACTCACGCCGCTTGGCCGGCCGGTTGCAGTCTCCCTGGCTGACCCCTCTGGCCGGGGGTCCTGTCCTCTCTCACTTCTCCACTGTCCTCCCGTGTCCGGCTGCCCCCTCGGGCACCTTGTCTGGTCTGTACCTCCCCTCGTTCTCGACGAACTTGGTGAGTGGTGCTGACCTGCAGGATGCGGGGGTTCACCAGTTTACTCCTGCGAGTCAGCGGGTGACCCACTGCTCGGACGCCCGCACAGGCCGACACCTGGCCACGTTTTCGCGTCGGCCGGGGTCGAGTCTCTACACCCTGACCACTGAGTCTCCTCCTGTCCCTGCGTCTGGCCAGGTAGCTGCGTCGGGTCAGGTGTTTGCTGCTGCGTCCAGGTCTGGTCCTGAGTCTGCCCCCTGCTCGTGTCGCCGCCTGTCTCAGGAGACTCTCCTGTGGCACCACCGTCTTGGCCACCCCTCCTTGCCTCGTCTTCGGGGCATGGCTTCCCGTGTCCTTGTCTCTGGTCTTCCCCGGTCTCTCCCTCCCCTTCCTTCAGGACCCGGACCTTCCTGTGTCCCCTGTGTCGAGGGGCGGCTCCGGGCTGCCCCTCACTCCTCCCAGTTTCCCCCGACAGAGGCTCCTCTGCAGACGCTTCACATGGACGTGTGGGGCCCGGCCCGCGTCCGTGGGCAGGGTCACGAGCGCTACTTCCTGCTGGTGGTTGACGACTACTCGCGTTACACCACAGTCTTCCCCTTGCGCAGCAAGGGTGATGTCACTGAGGTGTTGATCGACTGGATCCGCGCAGCTCGTCTCCAGCTCAGGAGGAGCTTCGGCTCGGACTTTCCTGTTCTGCGTCTGCACTCTGACCGAGGTGGAGAGTTCTCCT